CGTTTCTTTCGAATATTTATTTTTCTTTCATTTCACTTTACACCCGAGTCGATCCGCCATATTAGATTTATCGATAGATATCGAACTCTCCTTTCAGATACACTCGAAGCATTTATCATTACAGCTCTCTTTTTTCTTCTGTTTCGTTCTTTTTGACGCGTTTTTTTTCCTCTTTTTGAATAAAAAAAAGAATCTTGCAAAACGATTGTTCCTACCTTGTTCGCGTGACGCGTGAGACGTCGTGCAGTACTTCAAAGGGAAATAATCTTGCGGTTAGCAAAGCGGTATTTATAAAAACAACAAACAACAGGAAACCAAAGTGAAGAAAGTGCTGTCAAAGTGACAGTACGTGTAAATAAGACTGTGACCGTGCACTTGCACGCAAAGTGCATACCATGTATTGTAGAACATTTGAAGCATGTATGAATAAATGTATAGCGAAGTTTATTTTTATTATTTAGATCGTAGAAAGAGAAGATTCGAGTGTATTAGAAAGATTCCTATTACGCAGTTATTTCCATTAGTTAAATTAAAAAGAACGTAAAAGAGAAGAGCAAACGGTTATAAAAAGAAGAAGATTATGATGACGATGAGAGAAACATAGAGTCTTTTTCAAGAATGACATTCCTCGTTACCTTTTGAAAAACACCTTGAACGACTCGAAAAAATTTTTAAATGATTAATATCGATAACTTAATTTATAATACGTTTTAATTTTTATATATAAATATATATATGGAGAATAATGCCTTTGTACAATGAGTCGAAGAGAATATTTATCAAAGAGAATACACCACGATAAAAAAAAAAACAAGACACGAACGTATTCGCATAATTTTTTAATTTATCCTTTTTTACCGAAAACCGTAAACAAAAAAATCGGAAGTAACGAGAAATGAAAGTTTCTTCGCTGAAAGATAAATTAATTGAAGAATTCGAGAAAATATAAGTTGATTCTGCTTTCGAAAGGTAATATCTGATTGTAGGTGAATTACGCAGCCGGATCGTTTCTTTTTTGCCAACGAGTATATTTTCGATGACCGTTGTTTCGTTTGTACAAAAGTTACTTACAGTTTAGATGAGAAGAAAAAAAGAGCTGCGTGTTGTAATGTGCAGAAAAGTGTGTAATGTAAATATATCTGATGTACAACAAATATTCGAAAAACTTTTAAACTAATTAAGAACAACGTATCGAGTTAAAAAAAAAAACGTACACGCGGACGAATTTCCTGTACATTACTGCTGTTCGCCATCTTGAACTATTCAAAAATCGACCCGCGAACAACTTCACGTGATTTATCGCGATAGAAAAAGGCGCCAATGACGAATATCGATTTGTAACGATTACCGCAAACGGAAGATCTTTGTGCGTTTTTCTTTAAGGGGCGAGAAACTTGGATGACGCGAAGAAGAGTTTCAAATTAACGAAATTACGCCGACAAAAATAAATCGTAGACAAGCGGAAAACGATGAATCGAAATAATGTTCGAGTCTTTCGATTAATCTTTAATTTAATTCTTAAAAGTGATTTAATTTTAACGAAACGAAAAATAAATAAAAAAAAAAAAAGAATTATTTAAACTGAACTGACATTTTCATAAGAACGTATTTATCACCATAATCCAAACTTCAATCTAACTACGTAATTTACGTAATACATGTTATCTTCGATGATACATGTATTACCAGATGGACATGAGGAAGGATGGAAATGGACTTTTCACAGGTTTCACTCAAATTGGAATTGTATTGTCTTAGTTATGTTATGATTTACTTACTTGCAAACCGCATTCATTTTCACACACGAGCAACAGCGGCCTTCGAGTTGGATATTTCGCGTGAAATTGTTGCCGAAAGTTTTCTGCATACCACGCGAGCAGCTTCTCTTTATCACTGAGGGTACAATAACTACTCGGAAGCGTTTTCAGGTAAAGGTCTTTCGTGCGATCAACTTCTGGCCAGCATAGTTTAATCAAACACAGTTCTTCTTGTGTCTCTCTTATGAGTTCTTCTGTTGTTCGGAGAGAATCTTTATATGAAGTAATTGTTTCCCTCCTGTACTCCTTTTCTTCCGTAAGCGTCGATACACTTTCATAACTTTCGAAATCAAACTGTTCAATATCCTCTTCCATCTTTCGTTGAATAATTTACAACGAAAGTAAGGTTAACTTTTTTATTAGATGTTTATTTGATCGAAATATGTCAGAATTCAAATCGAAGTTCTTTAGTAAACAATTATTTATTGTCATGACAACATATGAAAACAAGGTATTTCTCAAATATAATAGTTTCGCGAACGATCACAAGGCGGCAGCACGTTCCGTTTACATTCGAGGTACGATAGGGATACAACTTATTAGTCTAACCTTTTCGTCGCGTTGTTTACATCGAGTGTTGCAGTTCAAATGCAAAGTGTACGAAATTTTGTTTAAATAAAAGTTGTAAAATCATGGGTAATGCATAACTTATCGTTGTGTTTCGTAGTTTTTTTTTATGATTCAAGAGGGCGTATATTCTCAAGAAATCCTCGTTATGACATCTGTACAAAAGAATGCAAACGGTAAATACACCTGAGGTATCAACGATGTATCGACAATAGATAAGGTTATGTACGATCCTATCGATTAGCACGAATATCGAAATTGCTATTTTATTTCGTGCAAAGTATAGCATGCAATAATAAATATTATAATTTTATTAACAAAAGATTTTTCACATAC